ACTAGTAGATGACCCCTATTAATCGTTGGGTCAAGGGGTTAAAGGTCAATGTGACAATGACCGTGTAGGTAATAACGGTTTCAGATCAATAAATAAAGAACACTTAGGCCTAGGAACTTCAAACTTGGTATGGTGATTGGACATGACCAGCAGATGACTCCTATTGATTTTGGGTTCAATGGGTCAAATGTCAAGGTCACATCGACCTTGTAGGTAATAACGGTTTCAGATCAATAACTAAAGAACACTTATGCCTAGAAACTTCAAACCTAATATGGTGATTGGTCATGACCAGCAGATGACCTCTGTTGATTTTGGGGTCAAGGGGTCAAAGGTCACGGTCACATTAACCTTGTAAGTAAAAACGGTTTCTGATCAATAACTAAAGAAGGCTTAGGCCTAGGAACTTCAAACTTTGTATAGTGATTGGTCATGACCAGCAGATGACCCCTATTGATTTTGGGGTCAAGGGGCGAAGGTCAAGGTCAAATTGACCTTGCTCGTAAAAACAGTTTCCGATCAATAAATTAAGAACAGTTAGGCCTAGGAACTTCAATATTGGTAGGGTGATTGGTCATGACCAGCAGATGACCCCTATTGATTTTGGGGTCAAAGGTAAAGGTCACATTGACCTTGTAGGTAAAAACGGCTTCAGTTAAATAACTAAAGAACGCTTAAGCCTAGGAACATCAAAGTTGGGATGGTGATTGGTCATTGCAGCATAGAGTCGTCGGGTTGTCTGTCCGTCCCTCAGTCGTTCCGTCCCTCAGTCCGTCCGTACGTACGTCCCGAATTCGTGCCCGGCCCATAGCTTTATTTGAAGTCAGATTTTAAAACTATTTCACAGAAATGATCACCATATTTAGCCGACGTGTCGCGCGCAACATTTGGGTCGCTACCTTGAAGGTCAAGGTCACAGCATGACCTTGAAGCAAAATAGTGTCCGGTCCATAACTTCATTTTTTGAAGTCGGATTTTAAAACTATTTTACAGAAATGACTACCATATTGAGACGACGTGTCACGCGCAGCGTGTCATTTAGGTCGTTACCTTGAAGGTCAAGGTGACAGCATGACCTTGCAGCAAAATCGTGTCCGGCCCATAACTTTGTTATTTGAAGTCGGATTTTAAAACTTTTTCACAGTAATGATCACCATATTGAGACGACGTGTCGCGTGCAACATTTGGGTCGCTATCTTTAAAGTCAAGGTCACAGCATGACCTTGCAGCAAAATCATGTCCGGCCCATGACTTCGTTATTTGTTGTCAGATGTTAAAACTCTTTCACAGAAATGATCACCATATTGAGATGAAGTGGCGCTCGTAACAGTGTGTCGCTACATTGAAGGTCAAGGTCACAGCATGACCTTGCAGCAAAATCGTGTCGGGCCCATTACGTTTTTTTGAAGTTGGATTAAACAACTATTTCACAGAGATAATCACCATTTTGAATCGACGTGTCGCATGCAACATTTGGGTCGCTACCTTGAAGGTCAAGGTCATAGCATCCCCTTGCAGCAAAATCATGTCCGGCCCATAACTTCGTTATTTGAAGTCAGGTTTTACAACTATTTCACAGAAATGATCACCATATTGAGACAATGTGTCGTGCACAACATTTGGGTTGATTTTACGCTTTAAACTTTGTCTGTGACATAACTCTGACACAACAAGAGGTATACCGTTCTGTGCCCAAAACCTATTCGGGGAGCAGCACCCGGTTCAATCGGTTCTTGTTTTATATAAAGAAACTCCGTGGTCGAGGGGTTAGAGTCGATGACTTCTAATCCAGTTACCTCTCTGGCATGGGTTCGAGCCCCGGGAGATGCTTTGGTAGTTTAGCACGGAGGAAGGTAGTATAGTGCTGGTGTAACTCTCCAGGAACGATGGTAAGGAAACTTCCCGCATATATGACTGAAATACTGTTGGAAAATGGCGTAAAATGAAACAATCAAACAAACAACTATATAAAGAAATGTTTTGTGACATGTGACTATACGTTCATTTTAAATTGTTATTCATGTTTGCTTTAAAGGCCCATTAAGCCTTAAAAATGCAATCACTTTAATTTTTCCAAACATTTTTGTTTGTGTCCAAAGAGTTAGTCACTGTCCATATACCAGAGCCATCATTTGTTTCCTTTGCATTTATTCATGTTTGATTTTAAGGCCCATTAAGCTTAAAAAATGCAGAAAGTTATTTTTCAAAAGTTTTTATTTTTGGTGTCCTTAACTTTTTTCATAGGCCATATATCTAAGCCAACTTTTGTTTCTTTTGTATTTTAGCAACTAGTACAATTATGGTGAATAAGTATTATATATGGAAGTCAAATTACATTTTTTTACATTTTGCATCTCTAATAACAAACTCAATTTTTTGGCAGTTGATAGGAATAGCACTTGTTCTAAATTTATTTATTATTATAACATTATAAAACACATATTTACCCTTTTACAAAAATAAAATTCTATTATTTTTTTAGGCATCATGTATAGATTGCAATATAAGTACACATATAATTACATGAAGATTGTTATATATTGTTTACTAGGTATATGTTACATGTAAACACATGCATAAAATATGTTTGTTTGTGACTTGGAATATAGATCTAATCTAGTACATTAGTTAACAAATATAATTACATGTACATGATTACAAATTTATATTGGCCATGTGTATGCTTAAACAATTCTATATGAAGTTAAGTTCAGTCTGTTATAAGTTGAATCAATTGTACATGTAAACTAAGCATGACTGTTTAAAACTTGAAATGTTCATTAAGAACATTATGCGGTGGTATAGCATTTTTCACAAATGCAATCTTGTTCAGTAAATGTTATTATGCTATTATAAATAAAAGAAAAATTCTGTGAACACTAAGCAATCTTGAAACTTTTGAAACAATTCTGTTTACTTTATAAGAAACTTGATAGTTTATCATAATTAGATGATTTTATTGAATAATTGGAAGTTAATTGATTACTTTAAATTTGAGGCATTGGTTGACTTATATTTTCAGGTTAAAATGCTCAAACTTTATCAGAAGGGATACATCTACATTGAATTTATCAAACAATGGTGGCATGTATATCGGTACAAAGAAATGTTAACAAAATGTAGGCAATATATAACATTTACATCTTGTCATAGATAACCTTTATGAAAGCATTGCTATTTTGCTTGATCTAGTTTTGTAATATTTGTATTTTATAAATGTAATACTTTATTTGATTATTTTGATAGTATGAATGTGTGAATGTGTGACTTTTCTTAATAAAGATTTGTACAGAACTGATTTGTATCTTATAGCTTTCCCCTCTCTTACAGAAAAAGTTACGTTATAAAACATGTTGGATGTTTTCTTTCTACATTTTCTTAGTAAATAAAGACTAAGCTGCCAGTACATAAATAACGATATGTACAATATATGTACTGTACTAGGATTGAGAGATTGACTCGTGAAATAGAACTGGAATAGAAGCAATACATAAATAACGCTATGTACAATATATGCACTGTACTAGGATTGAGAGATTGACTTGTGAAATAGAACTGGAATAGAAGCAATTGCCATATGCATAAATATAATATATATTCAGGGTGGAGGTGTTTATGCCATCACATGTCACGTCACAAGTATATAATTGGTTACGAAATTGTTACATTACATTTTAATTACTGGTCTTTCTTTTCATTTACCCATCACATATGACATTTTATCATTGGTTAAGAAATTGCTACTGCACGTGATATATTCCGAGTTTTCTCCTTACTATGTTTAAAGTTTATTCTTTGACCCAGCTCCATTATTAGTAAGCATATAGTTCTACGAAGTTTGCCTAGTCTTTCTATTCATGATTCGAATACATTTAACTCTATGAAGTGAATGATGGTAAAACACAAGTTATATCATTATCATTATAGCATCTTAAGTTTACAACAAGTGTCAATATATATGTCGAGATACATACACCGTGACACTTAAAAGAAGATGATATAACTTACAGATTGGGTTATGGTAGGTCCAGCAAAATATCGGGTACTGTACGTGTATATCTGTGATTTGTAGATTATGGGGTTTAATGTTAAACCAATACTCAATGAGGTTTATATGTGTTTATTCAATAAAGAAAAAACCTGCAACAAATAAAGTAACAATAAGACATCACATTACAGAGCAAAATAATAATACAAGACAAATACATTTCACAAAATATATAATACACAATATAATACAAAAATTCAAATTACAATAAAAACAATTTCACAAATACATATATACAAATATACATACCAGGCTTGTAATAGAAGAAATCTAATGAAATAATAGAAATCAGAATTAAGTATTTCTATAAAAAAATTACTGAAAGTTAAATATATTTTAAAGTTGTTATCACTTCGAAAGCGAGACAAGGAGTAATCAGTTACCAAGAAAATATAAGCTATCCCAGAACCAAATCATCTAAAAATAACTTGCATACCAAAACCAATCATCCATCACTCAACTTGCAAAACCAGTTCAATCACCCATAACAAAAGGAACAAAGACAAACATGAACGGATAAAACCGCAAAAGATTTAGTTTGGCCTTTAAAGGAAATAACTACCGTATTTATTATTAAAAGAGAACTTCGCTTAATTTAACCTTTTCTACACACTCCCCCCTCTAGTTAAAAAATGACATCGGCATTTTCTTAAGAAACAATTATTAATAAAACCTGGATTTATAAAAAAATAACCTTATAATCAATTCGAAAAACAAAAATGCAATACACTGTATTCATATGACGACAAATATATCATATTATTTAAGATATACTGCCCTCCTATAACTATTTTGCAATAGTTAAACAGTAAAATATAAAGAAATAATGCAATACAGTAGAGTTGTCAATTCTACTTGAAAATAACAAATACATAGTATATACCTCCATACATAGGGCATATACGTAATTTAAAATGACTGCATAAAAAAATGAAACACCCTTATACAATAATTATACCCATTCTCCATACCTATCCGGTGGATGTATCACACGTCTAGGGCGTGGGATAGGGCGTGAAGATGAAACAGGCGTATGTACTTGAATGACTGGAATAGTCACTGGAGTACTTGGTCTACTCACTGGAGTAACTGGTCTACTTACTGGAGTAACTCGTACACTTACTGGAGTAACTGAAACACTTACTGAAGTAACTGGAACACTTACTGGAGTAACTGGGATAGTTACTGGAGTAATTGGAACACTTACTGGAGTAACTGGAACACTTACTGGAGTAACTGGTACACTCACTGGAGTAACTGGGACATTGTCTGGGGAATATGTTACAGGATTGGGGTGAATCCTGGGAACCAGTGAAGGGATAGAAATAGAAGGAGCATCAGAAGAATGTCCATAATCAACGCGATTATTGCGAAATCTCCTCTGTGGTATGATGTATACACCAGATGATGATCCAGAATCAGCATCTTACTCTTTTTGTATAGAAACACGTCTAGGTTTTGGTTTAGGCTTAGTTTCAACATGTAAATCTGCATCTTCTTTAGGAATAGAAATAAATGGAAGAAGCATATTTCTGTGAAGGGTTCTGAAAGGACCTTTTCGAGACTTAAGTTGTACTTTATATACAGGTTGGCCAGAAATGGTATGTCAATGATAACACTTCTCCCACTTATCTGCCAGCTTCTGTCTCCCTTGAAGATTGACTTTTCGGACCAAAACAATATCGCCTACAACCAATTTGTTCTCGCGAACCCTACGGTCATATTGCTTCTTGTTTTGATCAGCCCGCTTCTTGGCAACATCCCAAGCTAACCGATAAGCATTTTGAAGGCGTTCCTTCAAACGAGAAACATAAGTAATAAGAGAAAGATGTTCAGAGTTGGAAGGAAAAGTACCAAGATAAGCATCAACAGAAAGACGGGGATGCCATCCAAACATAAGAAAGTGCGGAGAAAAACCTGTAGAAGAGTTCTTGGTGGCGTTATAAGCCTGAACAAGAGAAGGAACAAAATCTGCCCACTTAGATTTGTGATCTTCTGCCATAGTACCTAACATTCTGAGTAGGGTCCGATTAAATTGCTCGGCTGATGGATTTCCCATAGGGTGGAAAGGAGTGGTTCTTGTCTTTCGGACATTTGCAATCTTGCAAAGGTCTTTGATGACTCGACTTTCAAAATTCCGACCCTGGTCAGAATGCAGCTGCTCTAGAAAAGAATAGTGGACAATAAAATGTTCATATACAATGTAAGGCACAAGCAGTGGTAGTCGCCTTTTGATTAAAGCAAGGAATAGCCTTGGCATATCTGGTAAAATGGTCGGTAATGACCAAGGCGTGCTCATACCCTCCTTTGGACTTCTCCAGCCAGCTTCAGGAAATCCATACACACAAGTTGCATTGGTCTTGAAGTCTGGATTGGAACCAATTCTGCAGCAGGTACTACCGGTGTCTTTCTGCAAATACAACTTTTGCAACCTGAAATGCGACTATTAAAATCTGCCTCCATGCCAGGTCAATAAAAACGTTGACGAGCTAACCATAGAGATTTATCACGCCTGGGATTGCCTACATTGACCTGTCGCGTCCAACTTAGCAGAGGAAAGGACATAAGTTAAGGGTTGTTGTCAGTATAAACAAGAAATTGGTTGCCATAAAGATATTCGTGAAACTTGTCACAGACAGCCCATTTCAAAGCTAAAAATTCAAGTTTATGAGCAGGGTAATTACGTTCACTACTACTTGCATATGCGGCTTTTATGTTTTCACCCTCGATTAAAAAGTTTACAAAGCCCTTTAAAGCAACAATAAAAAGCATTTTTATTTATATTTTCAGTTCTTATAATGTTTTCTTTTCATACAATACCGATCAAATATCTACCATACACTAACGCCACATATTTGATCCATATCAGTTAATAAATATTTTGACAAAACGGCGCCAATCCGTAAGCAGCGTAATGACGTCATCGTAAGTAAACAACTCATTCATAAACAAGCTGACGTTATTTCATACATAAAAGAATGATAAATGGGGCACTGATGTTAACACAATACCACGTAATATTTTAATTGTTGAAAACTTGATAAAATACCTTTTTTCTTATTATTTATTTTGTTCAATAATTTCTATATCTTTGCAACAGTAGGGTGCGAAAATCGAACAGCGTTATACGAAAATCGGCAACGGAAGTTATTTCCGCTTGAAAAAATAACATTAGTATTCTTCCTTATTTTATCGTGGAAGAATCGAAATAACATCGGCCTGAGAGGTGTATATTGGCTGTTTAACACCGTTTTTGTCGTTTTGATGCGAAAAAAATTAAACACTCAGGCCTACGGCCTTCGTGGTCAATTCCAACGCATCAAAACTCCAAACCGGTGTTAAATAGCCGATATACACCTCTCAGGCCGAGGGGCGTCCGTGGCCGAGTGGTTTAGGTCGTTTACTTCAAACCACTTGCCCTCACCGCTGTGGGTTCGAATCCCGACAGGGACTTTGGATTCTGTCATGTGAGGAAGCTATCCAGCTAGCTTACAGAACGTCGGTGGTTCTACTCAGGTGCCCGTTCGTGGCTGAAATAATGCACGGAAGGGCACCTGAGGTCTTCCTCCACCAGTAAAGCAGGAACGTCGCGATATGACCTATACTGTGTCGATGTGACGTAAAACCCAAAACAAAACAAAAACCTCTCAGGTCGATATTATTTCTAAAATATCAGTAAGAAAGACAATGAAAATGAGCACATTATAGTTATTATAAACAGCCTCCGGAATAAGTTTGCAAATCCGGAATTTTCGCAAACTCAGCTACCTTTTTTAAATTGATTAGAGAAAAAATTTAAAGACCGGTCAATAATAGAGATTGAGTCAAGTAAAACCTGGCCTTTGAAATGACGATACCCTTGAAATTAAATGCAGGGGAGACATTCAAAGTTGGCCGTCCCATGGGGTTTTTCGATTCCCCACTGGGGATTTGGTCTCCCAGTGGGAGTTTCGTGGGGTTTCATTTCCTCTTTACGAGAATGGGAGAAAAAAAATCGGGAGAATTAAAAGAATTTATATACCATTATTTTAAAATAAAATCACTAATCTTGACTTAAGATATTCCTTCCTAAAAAAATATAGATCGAAATATAAATATTTTTAGAATCTCCCATTTTCATTATGGGTGGAACGCACCGATGGGTGAAATCACCCATCTTAATAATGGGAAGAAAATCCTATTTTGATAAATGGGAAAAAAATCCAATTTCTTATAATGGGAGATAATTCCCATTCCTTGCAAATGGGAGAGTGTTCTATCTTTCAGGTGTGGCGCTTATAAAATATAATACAAAATTTACGAATAAAATAAAATCCAAAAATCAAATAAAATGGCAGGGAATATGCAGTAAAATAATAATAATAATAATAAGAGATAAATAAATAAATAATAGATCTAATAAAAAAAAATAAAAAAAAAAATAATAATTATAATAAGAAATAAAAAGTAATAATAATAATATTATTAAAAAGATATTAATAATAAAATAATAATAATAATAATAATAATAATAATAAAATATAATAATAGATAAATAATAATTATAATATACATAAATAATAATAATAATGATAAAAATAATAATGATAATGATAATAAAAATAATTATAATAAAATTAATTAATAATAATATCGATGATAATAATAATTATGATAATTATGATTAAAATAATGCTAACAATAAGAAGAAGAAATAATAATAATAATAATTAATAATAATAATAATAATAATAATAATAATAATAATAATAATAATAATAATAATAATAATAGTAATAGTAATAGTAATAAAAAAATAATAATGATAAAAACAATAATAATAATAAAATAAAAATCATCATAATAACAATAATAATAATAAAAAATAATGATAATAATAATAATTATAATAATTAATAATATTGATGATAATAATAATAATGATAATAATAATAGTAATAATAAGAAGAAGAAAGAGAAGAAATAATACTACTACTTCTACTAATAATAATAATAATAATTATAACAAAACAGGCATTGGCATTTTATCTTGGAATATGACGGGAATGAATACAGGAAAGTATCATATGTAACAATTTAATCACCAAAATTCATTTAAATATAAAACAATCCAAAATGCTATGATGTACTCTTCGCCGGTCTGCTATTGTATTTTCTGTCTCATCCAGTCTATTTTGACATTCAAATAGTTTCACAAGCTAAATGGCAAGTCTCTCCTGGACTTGAAGTATATAACTTATTTGAAATCATTAAATATAAATACCGGGTTAAGGTGTTTTTTTTCGAACAAACAATATGTTGATCACTTCGTTTCATTTGTAATTATAACCTTATAAAAACAAATTTTTAATATTGTTCATATAATGGATTACACCAAGTAATTCCAATAATGGAAATTGTTTCATTTTTCTATTGTTGTCATCGTCGGATAAAAAATTAGTACTGAAAATTTTTCAAAATAAACAAACAAAAATCAACATTATTTATAAGATTAAACGGTAATATGCTCAAATGGTAATCTAATCGGTGTCATACAGATTTTTAAGACGTAGCTTAAGTAATAAGGGATGAAAAACAAGTTTGCCGTAAGGCGTGCGTAGCATAAAGCCATACAAGTTGTTATTTTGTATCAAATATAAACATGCAGTCATTGAAAATTGACATAACGTCGCCTGTCAATCAAGCTGACAGGGGCCACGGAGATAAGCCAATCAGCGATCGTTGTCAGTTTCACGCTAATATGCCTGCGAAGTCTACCATTTACCTAAGACAAGCTTCCTGTCTATTTAATTTTATGCAAATTTAGAACTATGTTTTAGCATAAGCGATATCGATTTTACTCGAAGATAAGGGAAGCAAACTCTTATTTTTTTACTCGCTATACCTCGGTTTATTTACGTAGATCATATTGAAAGTGTTTATGGGTGTAAGTACATTTATAAAGTTACCAAAATAAACTGGCATATTGACGGACCGAGTAATTTTTGTTTATTACACAAATAGTCAATAAGTTTCTACATACGGAAATTTATATACAAAAGCAACGCATTATAAAAAAATCTGTGTTTTTATTCATACCGATTTTACCTGCGCATTTAGGCATAACTATTCAACGGTAACATATTATGCTTTACAGTAAATCAAACTGTGAAAAGAGACATAATAAACAATTCAAATTCAATTCAAATATATTTATTCAACCAGGTATTAATAAAATACATAAGGGGTTTACAAAATAATATTTTACAAATATATATGATCCGGTTGTAAAGTCCTGAAAAGATAATGCAGTATCAATAGTCATTTAGTCATTATTTAAACAGAAATATAAAAAATAATACACTTTTTTTAATGTTTTAAAGAAAGAAATATAAATCAAAGTAAATCAAACTGTAAAAAGAGACATAATAAACAAATCATACAATTACTATTTAGTTACCGCTCAGTTAGCGAATTACAAACAACCAATTGACAATTGCAAGGTTATTCACACCTTCGACGTCCGGTATTGTCAGGGTAATTATCTAT